AATGTGAATTGTTGTTGCACATCAGTTACCTATTTGTGTAAGAAGCCAATTAAGAACCAACTCTGTATCACATTACTGTGAGTAAAGGTATCTAGTGTTACTTCACTTTTTTATTATTGATCAATTTGATGTCACAAAAGTTTCACAAACAAAGGTATCTAGTGTTACTTCACTTTTTTATTATTGATCAATTTGATGTCACAAAAGTTTCACAAACAAAGGTATCTATTGATTCATAACCAATCAACACTACAAAATCTCATAATGAAAGTTACAGCAATGCATAATCAAGATCAATTTCACAAAGTCTCATAATCAAGATCAAGTTGGTGTATGACAAAGCACACTACAAAATATGATCACCAATACAAAACCTTATAATCAAGTTCATAACCAACCATCACAAATTTAACAAAATAAAGAATTAAAATGCGTGATACACTTTTTATTACTATTATTACATGTACGTTCTTAAGGGTGTCTACTATAAAATTAGTCAATTATGTGGAGTATTTGATGGGATTAGGGAGAGTGTTGCGCACCATGCACAACAATTACTATTGCACAATTAATGGAGCTTTTTTTGGTTTTCATTTCGACGATTCGAACCATTCACTCTTTAAAAGATATTGAGTAGAATATATCTGTAAAAATTTAAGTTAATTGGAGATTGATATCCTTTTCATCCACACATATTTGTATCTAAAAAATTGAATGATAAATTTAATTTTAAGTATAAATATGGATACAAACATGTCTAAATGAAAAGGGATATCAAAATCCAATTAAATTAAATTTTTAAATGTATATTCTACTCAATATCTTTTAAAAATTAAACGATTTAGATCATTAAAATAAAATGTAAAAAAGATTTCATTAACTACGCAACAGTTACTATTGCACATGGTGTGCATCAGCCTCTCCAAATTGGTATCTGACACTACCACTTAACTCCAAATCAGAGTTTGGGTTGGCTGCTTCTGTCCTCCATTACACAAATCCCCTAATTTCCTTATTAGTGGGCAGGCAATGGTAGAAAAAGAAAAATTGAAGAAAAAGTGTTCATTCATTAGTAGTTTATCACATCACATGCATGCCATGAACCATTGTTTCAACAGGTGGAGTTGGCTTTTATCTGTGGACTTGTGAACCTTTGTTAAGTTTTTTATTTTTTGTTACCTTTTTTGTGGAAAAGGGTTGTGAAAAATTTTCCATTTTTTTTTTCCACAATGGGTGATGGGTTAAATAATAGTAAGGATTTTATTTATTTTAAATTTATTTTTAAACAATTAATTTTTAACCAACTTTTCAAAACAACCCTTAATTAGCCTTTCCTACTCAATATTTTAAATTTGTATGAAAATGAGATTTGATTTAGTAATGGGATAGGCATGTGAGCTCCTGTACCTATATAACCTTTTCAACCTAAATTAAGGCAAGAAAGGAAAAATCATGCACCTTACCAGCAATGATAGTTACACAAAAGAAGTAGGCATTTGTTTTTGAGAGTTTTTTTTTTTTTTTCATATTAGTTGAATTTGAAATTGAGTTCAATTTCATGCTTTAAAATATTATTTTAAGGGATACAACTTAGCTTTCGTTTGAGATGTGGGTTTAATTTTTGACTTTTGACTATTTTAGCCTGGTGTTAAAAAGTCTCGTTTGGGATGCGTTTTTTAGATTTTTTGACTTTTATGAAAGAAAAAATGAAATAATTATGGTTTGAATGTGACATTTTGTCTTATTAACTTTTTAACCTATTTTATCTTTTTGTGACTAAAATAATAATAAAAAAACCTATACCAAACATAACCTTAGGTGACACCATTATTTATTTCATTTGGATGGCAGGAATAAAAAGAATGAATACATCAAGAAGTGCATTGCTAATAATAAAAGATTTGTCAATGTTATTGAAATATTTTTTAATTTAAAATTCTTGATGAGAAAAATATACTACATATAAATAGATTTTTCTATAATTAAACATAAAGATGATGGATCCATATATATTTATTAATGTGCATCTGTTATCATGTGTCAACAAAAGATTGACATCAAGCCAGACTATTCTTAAAATAAAAATGATATTTTCCTCTAATTTGGAAGCTCTAAAAGAGCACAGGTCGTGATTAAGTCCAATATTTTTTAGCCTTTTTTTTATTTATTGTTTCCCTAGTTTTTCATTTTTTTAGGCTCGGAGGTTGGCTCTATCATGAGCGGACACACAAGACAGATTTTCCAAGTCCAAGCAAGTTCAAATTTAAATTTAAAAGAACATGAGGCTCTTGCAAAACCTCCGCAATGAGTTTTATTTTAATTATTTAAATTATTTATTTTATAAGACTTTCAGTATATAATATTTATGAAAAAAATTTATTGATTGATTAATTTAACCTTTTTTATTTTATCGTGTTTATTTTTAAAAAAATTAATCACAAATATATTTTTTAAAATAGACTATTTATTTTTTTAAAAACAAATATTATAATTATCAGATTAACTTAAGTTCTTTTTATACACCTAAAAGACTCTATAAATTGAAAAAATCAGACTCGTAGTGAGCCATAAAGACCCCTCAAATACGAATAGAGCGACACTAGAAAAACAAAAAAAAACAAAAATAAAAAACAAAAAATTTACTAAATACTTTGATGATACAGTTTGTCCCAGTGAATGGGTCGGACTAGTCCAAGCTCCTCAAGCCCAGGTCCAAATGATCAAGCCCACCGGATAACCTGCAAATAAGTTCAACGGGGAACAGGGTAGTCCCCCAGTGAACCCTCCGACGAGCAAGTTAGGAAGAGAAGTAGAGTGTAGAGGGAGAGATTAGAGATAGAAAAGCTTAACCTTCTTCTTTTCTTCAACGTTTGCTTATATCCTTTGGTAATCATTTCGCTGTCCCTTCCGTCCTGACCTCCTCGCCGAAAGTCTAGACTGTAGCTTACCTTGTTCAGGGTAAAGGGGTCCTGTTCCGACGGAGAGGTGTTGTCGTAATAAATGCTGTGATGGGCTGCATTAATGGTGATGTGCAGTGGCAATAACTTTGCAGATCTTTGTCTGCTGATGTGGCTCGTCCTTCAACTGCCATGTGTCTGAATGTCAGTGGTTCTTTATGCCATGTTGGATTCCAGCTATCCTGGACCTCACCAGTTGGGTTATGTACTGGGCTCCAAGTGATGGGCTTTGGTTGTTCATAGTGATTCATGGCCTTTATGGGCTTATACACGTCAGTAGTCCCCCATTCCCGAGTGCAGCTTTAGTTCAACGAAGGGAATACAAATGAAGAAGATGAGGGTGTTAGGGGTGACCGAGAGGGTGAGCCGACCGGGAGGTGGTCCGACCGTGCAGGGTGACCAAGTAGAAGAGCTGACCACGAGGAGGGCCGACCGCAAAGGTTGGCCGAGTGGGAGGGTCGACCACGAGGAGGGCCGACCGCGAAGGGGGGCCGACCGCGGAGGTTGGCCGAGTGGGAGAGTCGACCACGAGGAGGGCCGACCACGAAGGGTGACCGATTGGGAGGGTCGACCACGAGGAGGGTCGACTGCGAAGGGTGAGGTGGAGAGGCGTGGGGCTCGAGAGGCGGCGTGTCACGTGGTGATTTGAAGCGAAAAAGACAGGGTAAGGGGAGGAGACAGTGGATCGTGGTCGTACACGTGGCAACATCCCGCCGGGGGGGAGATTAGGCGTTAGATCAGAAGTGAAACGATAGGTCATTATGGGTGTTGAAAAGACAGTTTTGGCGGATGATTTGAAAAGTTTTCAAGCTAGCGAAAATTAATTGGGATCCTTGGAATACGGGCAAACCGTGGGCTTTTGGCATTATTCGATTCACCTACTTGTTTGCGAAAAATCAAAATATTCCAAGTGTGAATTCCTTTGTTGCTCGCGATACACCTCTGCAAAACTTTTTCAACTTCCTTGCACCTGCATCTGAAGCGATTCGCAGGCATACCATAGAAATGGCCCAAGAAGAAACTGCGAATGTCAGGATGGATCCACTTGGTGATGATGATGCAGTGGAGTTAGCACAACAATATAGGATGGAGAAGGTGGGGGAGTCGATGGTACGATCCCATGGTTCCACTATGATAGCAGCTCCAAAGCCAATCAGCCAGGCAGAACCAGATCACTGGCATACAAAGGCAGATAGATCAACGGTTACTGCAGCGGATTTGGAGGCTATTCACGAAAAATACCAGGTGCCTGCTGAAATAGAGTTGTTGTTGCCGATGTCGATGGAGAGGCCATTTGACGCCAGGCCAGGGGAGTTTGCCCTTTATGAGGAAGCATTGAAGGGAGGACTGAGGCTGCCCCTGCCGCAAGTGGTGGTAGATGTCCTGAATCGTTTGGAGGTAACGTCGGGCCAACTAATGCCCAATGCGTGGAAGATCTTACTGGCCTGTGCAAGTGCGTGGCCGAAGGCGAACGAAGGGGCGGCCATGACAGTAGACGAATTCTTCGCATGTTACAAGGCCTCAGGGCAACAAGAGACTTGGGTCACTCTGCAAGCAGTGGCAGGGAAAGGGCTGGTGGCGGGGCTGCCGTCGTCGATCAATGGGTGGAGACCACGGTGGTTCTATGTATCTGCTGGTGAAGGGGTTAGAGTGCGCATCATTTGAAAAGTGCCCACCAAGCCTGTGGAGCCAAAGCTAGGAGCAGCAGCAGAGGAGAGGGTAAAGAGGGTAAAGGAATGAAGGGAGAAGGAATGGGCCAAGTGGGACGAGCTCGTTCAGCCATCGGCTTTGTTTGAGGCAGGGTTGGGTCCACAGCCGAGTGGTGGGGACCTCGACTGGACGGAGTTGGAGGCAAGGAGGAAGGCTCAAGAGGCAGAGAATCAGACCATCCTTGCAAAAGCCTAAAAATTCAAAGAGTCTCAAGCAGACCGACCGCCAAAGCCGGTTGCAAAGGAGAGGATCTGACCGCGACCCAAACCCTTGGGGGAAAAAAACTTAGGTGAATTTGTGCCACGACCGCCCCCAATAGATCCTTTAAAGGAGATGGAGGTGTTGAGCGAAGTGAAGAAGAAAAGGAAAGTGAGGAGGAGTGAAGAAGAGCCTGCCCCGAAGAGAAAGAGGGAAGTGAGGGCAGAAGAGACCAGTATGGTGAAGGAGGCAGAGGGGGGGAAAGTGAAGGAGACCCCAGGAAGAGTAATTGCCCCAGAAGTGGTGGACATTGCCTCAGAGGGTATGGAAGTCGTTCCAATAGTGGCGACGATCGCCGCAGGGGTCGCGAGGGTCGCCCCTGAAGTGCAAGTAGAAGGTGGAGCAACTGACCCTGAGCTAAGGAGGGGAGAACAGCCCTAGGGGGGTCCAGCACCCCAAGGAGGGGGAGTCAGTCTGACTACTGCGATCTACCACGCTCGTGCAGTGGCTAGGCGGCTGGAGGGAGAAGAAGGCCCAGCCAGGGCAGGGGCAGAGCGCCTTGTGGGGATAGTAGAAGAGGCAGCCTTGCGCTCAGCAGCTAGATTCAATGAGGCTGAACTGCTGAGGGGGTTATGCTCCGCTCAAATGGAGGTAACCACCTTAGCAGGGGCTCTGCTAAAGAAGGCGGGTGCTGCAAAACTCAAGGCAGATGAGGCCAAGACTCAGCTTGCAAAATTGAAGGAGAAGAGTGCAAGTTGGGAGAGTGCCCACGCTGATCTGCAAGCGGTCAAGGTGGAGCTGGAGAACACACGCTGCCAGGTTGTGTCGCTCGAGTTCCAACTGGCTGGCGAGCAGAAGAGGTTGAATGAGACCCAAAAAGCCTGTGCGGTCGCGATCGAACGACATGAAGAGGCAATGAGTAGTAATGAAGAGTTGGTCAGGCAAAAGGATGAGGCAGACGTGAAGATTAGCGGTCTGCAGAAAGAGCTGGAGGGCAAGCGTATAAAGGCACTGGAAGAGCCAGAGCCTTCAGAAGGAGTTGGAGGCAGAGAGAGCCAAGGCGACTGCTGAGAGGGAGACCTTGAAGAAGGAGTTGGAGGCAGAGAAGGCCAAGGCAACTGCTGAAAGGGCATCCCTGAAGAAGGAGTGGGAGGAAGAGAGGGCTAAGGCAGCCTCTGAAACGGCGATCCTGCAGAAGGAGTTGGACGAAGAGAGGACGAAGGTAGCCTCTGAAAGGGCGGCTTACCCCGATCTGTATGTGGCAGCAGTGGATCAATTCAAGGGGTCTGCTGAATTTCAGATGGCCGTGGATGCCGCGGTTGCCAGCAGCTTGGCGAGGGAGGAGTCTGGGGGGGCGGGCCCATCGAGGACGACTGCTGAGGGGAGAATTGAAGCGGAAGTGATTGAGAGCTTCCAGCAGTCAGACTTTTATAAACACGAAATGGCTGAGTTCTGGGACAGTGGCTGGAAAATGTTCAAACGTAGGGCTGAAGAACTGTTCCCAGACTTAGACCTCAGTAGTGTAACAATTGGTGAAGATGATGTGGCCCAGACCCCCCTGGATGAGGGTATTGAAGAAGAAGTCCTTGTCTCCAGTGAGGAGGAATGAGTGAAGTGAAGAAAGTTTGTACTTAAGAGAGTTTTTTTTTTTTTGTTTTGTTTTGAATGGCTGTAATGAACTCATGTACAAATCTCTGAATAAATAAAATTGCAATTATGTTTTCGTTTGATTGTCTGTGCTTATGCAGCTGAAATGAATGAGGCATGGGCGAAGGGTGTGTATAACTCATTGCGAAGTGCAAAGTGAAGTTAAACTTGTAATAAGAACTAAATTTAAGAACTCCTCAGTGTATAGTGAAATTGAAGTTGTAATAAAAGCTCAATGCAGAGTAAAGTTAGGAACTCCTCAATGCAGAGTGAAATTGAACTTGTAATAAAAACTCAATGCAAAGTAAAGTTAAGAACTCCTCAATGTAGAGTGAAATTGAACTTGTAATAAAAATTCAATGCAGAGTAAAGTTAAAAACTCCTCAATGCAGAGTGAAATTATAAGTCTCTGTTTGCCACACTGCTGAAGTAGATTAGTGGTTTATTGGAGTGAGGCTTGGCTTGTAAGGAAACGGGCTGAGTTGTAAGAGTTCGATTGAGAAGAAAATAACCTGACTTATAAAGAAAACGCGTAAGAACGTCTTTGGAATTTGACTAAGCAAAGAGTGGTGTGGAGACTTGGATCTGGAATTGTGACTAAGTGTGTCTACTAATTCCACAAGCATGAAGTTTGCATAGATGGTTTTGACCGAGCCCTGCACGCGTGGTCAGTTGGGGGTAAGCTATGATTCACTGACGTTGTAAGTAACTCAGTCTAAACCTAAAATTGTGGCACTCGGTTTGGCTGAGACTTGTTATGCTTAGGCTGGCTGAGGCTTGGTCTGGCCGAGTGCTTCACGCTCAGTCTGGATGAGGCTTTTAGTGCTCAGTCAGGCTAAGGCTTTTAGTGCTCAATCTGGCTGAGGCTTTTAGTGCTCAGTCTAGCTGAGGCTGTTGACGGTCAGACTGGCCGACGCTTCTGGTGCTCAGCCTGGCTGAGGCTTTTAGTGCTCAGTCTGGCTGAGGCTTTTAATGCTCAGTCTGGCTGAGGCTTTTAATGCTTAGTCTGGCTGAGGCTTTTAGTGCTCAGTCTGGTTGAGGCTGTTGACGGTCGGACTGACCGAGGCTTCTGGTGCTCAGTCTGGTTGAGGCTTTTAACAAGTGCTGCAAATGAGAACGTTATTGAGACAACACACAGATAACTAAGATATAGGGTTGTTGTCTTGGACGGTGTAGTCCAGTCGATCAAAGCTTACGTTATGCATCAAAAAGAAAATACAACAACTAAGCAATACAATAGTAGGCACTCATTGAAAGTAGCGCTTCAAGTGTTCAGCGTTCCAGGGGTGGAGGAGGTCTCGACCTTCCATGTCCTGAAGTCGGTAGGTGTCCGGACGTGGTCGGGCTTTCACAACGTAAGGTCCCTCCCATTTGGCTGCCAGTTTACCCTCAGTTGGATTTTTGGTGGCAAGAGTTGCTTCTCTCAAGACAAGGTCCCCTACGACGAACTCCCTTGATCGGACTTTGCGGTTGTAGTGTGTTCTCATTTTCTGTTGGTATGAGGCCAGTCTGACAGCGGTGGTCTCTCTGAGTTCTTCAATTAGGTCCAAGTCTGCCCGGCGGAGCTTTTCGGTGAGTGTTGGATTTGGATGTAAAACCCTGGGAGTATGCAGATCGACTTCTACTGGAATAACCGCATCAACGCCGTATGTTAAGCGGAAAGGGGTTTCCCTAGTGGGAGTCCGAGCTGTAGTTTGGTAAGCTTAGAGTACATTTAGTAGTTCCTCAGCCCAAAGTCCCTTAGCAGCTTTTAGCTTAGTTTTGATGATCTTCAGGAGAGAACGGTTGGTGACCTCAACTTGGCCATTTGCCTGGGGATGACCGGGGGAAGAGAAACATGGTTGAATCTGGAGGTCGGCACAGAACTTCCTGTACTTGGCGTTGCCAAATTGTTTGCCGTTGTCGGAGACGATGGCCTGAGGAATGCCAAACCTACAAACGATCGACTGCCAGATGAACTTTGTTGTGTTCCGCTCGGTAATGGTGGCAGGGGGTTCTGCCTCTACCCACTTGGTGAAGTAATCAATGGCGACGATTGCGAACTTGGTCTAGCCTCGGCCAGTGGGAAACGGACCGACCAAGTCGATCTTCCATTTGGTGAACGGATAAGGGCTACAAAGTGTGATCAACTCTGTAGGAGGAGCATGGGGGATGTTGGCAAAACGTTGACACTTATCACATTTGAGCACGAAATCTGTAGTATCATGATTGAGAGTTGGCCAGAAATAACCAATACGGAGTATTTTGTGGGCTAGAGACCTGCTGCCCGAATGATTACCACAAATTCCCTCATGGATTTTCCGCATTACATAGGTTGCTTGAGCCGAATTGAGGTATCGCAGGTATGGTCGTGAAAAACCACGTTTGTACAAGACGCCACTGACCAGGATGTAATTGGACGACCGGGCCCTGGCTTTGGCGGCCTGCTGTTGGTCATTTGGGAGTTCCCCCGTTGCCAAAAATAGGAAGATGTCGGAGGCCCAAGGGATGGGTTCGTTTTGGAGGAACTGCACTTCTTGTAGGTCGGGTGAGATGGCCGGGTGGGCTAGGTATTCGAGGCGGACACCGTGGCTGAGATCGGACTGGTCTGCAGAGGCCAACTGAGCCATCTCATCTGCCTTGGAGTTTTCCGCCCGAGGTATGTGCTTGATGTGGAAAGTATTGAAGAGGCGAACAAGGGGGAGTGATATATCCCTGTAAGCTCGCATTGTGCCCTCCTTGGCATCGAATTCCCCCGTAATCTAGCCGACAATGAGTTGGGAGTCACTGAACACCCGGATGTGGCTGACTCCAATGTCCTTGGCGAGACGGAGTCCTGCTATCAATGCCTCATATTCAGCCTCATTGTTACTGGCATTAAATAAGAAATGGAGAGCACATTTGAAATAGCCACTCTCAGGGGCGGTGAGAATGAGGCCAGCCCCACTACCTTCCCTGCGGGATGATCCGTCGACATTGAGAGTCCAAGAATGCGGGTCTTCTGGCTTGGTAGGGATTGGTGGGGGTGGGGGGCAGTGGTTGGTGTAGGATTAGTGAATTCCAGTATGAAATCCGCGACAGCCTGTTCCTTAATTGCTATTTGAGGCCGGTAGGAGATGTCGAACTGACTGAGTTCTACTGACCACTGCATGAGTTTGCTGGAAAGTTCTGGTTGTTGCATGACCTTTTTCAAGGGTTGGTCAGTGAGAACCACTATGGAATGGGCTTGGAAGTAAGGACGGAGCCGTTTGGAGGCGGTGACCAAGGCCAAGGATAATTTTTTTAACAGCGGGTAATTCTGCTCTGCTCCCTTTAGAGCCCGACTGATGTAGTAGACCGGCCGTTGGACAGAGTCGTCTTCCCTGATAAGAGCTGCACTGACTGCGGTGCTTGAGACGGCTAAATAAAGAAAGAGGGGCTCGCCCGTAATTGCTTGTGAAAGGAGAGGGGGATTGGCCATACACTGCTTCAACTGCTGAAAAGCCTCTTCAGATTCAGTTGTCCATTCAAAAGTTTGCCGAAGAACTTTGAAGAATGGTAGGCACTTATCTGTTGCGCGGGAAATGAAGCGGTTGAGGGCCGCAACTCGGCCAGTGAGCCTTTGAACCTCTTTGACCGTTCTGGATGACTGCATGCCAATCAAGGCCTTGATCTTTTCAGGGTTAGCTTCAATGCCCCGCTGACTGACCATAAAACCCAGAAAACTTCCCAGATCCTACGCTGAAGGCACACTTCTCTGGGTTGAGCTTCATTTGGTACTTGCGCAGGGTGGCGAAGGTCTCTCGCAGGTCAGTCAGATGATCAGTGGAGAGTTTGCTCTTGACTAGCATGTCGTCGACATATACTTCCATATTCCGACCTATCTGGTGATGGAAGACGGCATTGACCAACTGTTAGTAGGTGGCCCCAGCGTTCTTCAATCCGAATGGCATCACACGGTAGTGCTAGGTACCCCGGTCGGTAATAAAGGATGTATGTTCCCGATCGGATGGGTGCATCAGGATTTGGTTGTAACTAGAGAAAGCATCCATGAAGTTGAGCATTTGATGACCGGCCGTGGCGTCGACCAGCAGATCTATGCGGGAAAGATAATAGCTGTCTTTGGGGCAAGCTCGGTTTAGGTCAGCGTAATCGACACAGAGTCGCCATTTGCCATTGTTCTTGCGGACTAGGACCACGTTCCACAACCATTTAGGGTGATCTACGTTTTTGATAAATTGGGCCTCAAGGAGCTTGTCAACCTCGGCAGCTATAAGAGTATTGCACTCTGGATGAAAGATGCGCTGCTTCTGGCGGTAAGGTCGAAAATGGGGTTTGATGCTGAGGCGGTGAGTTATGAAAGAGGGGTCAATGCCCGGCATGTCTGAATGGGTCCAGGCAAATACATCGTTGTGCTCGATCAGAAGGGCGACAAGGTCGGCCTTAGCTTGGTGGGATAGTTGGCTGTCGATCTTGGCAATTTTCATTGGGTTGGTGGGATCGATGGGAATCTCAACGAGCTCCTCTACCGGTTCTCCTCTGACCAGCTCGTCCTCATCTCGGACGTCAAGTTCTTCAATGATCATGGCCTCCTTCAGCTTGACTTCCTTGAGGGATGCGACATAACATTCCCTGGCTATGGTCTGCTCTCCCCTTATTGTCCCGATGCCCAGGTCGGTAGGGAACTTTATGGCGAGGTGGTAGGTTGGAGTGATAGCTTGGAGAGCGTTGAGGGCGGTGTGGCCAAGGATGATGTTATAGGCAGAGGGACAGTTGACCACAAGGAAAGTGAGCAACTTGGTAGTCTGCCGTGGGTATTCGCCAATGGTGATAGGGAGATCGATGGAGCCGATAGAGGTCACCCGGTCGCCAGTGAAACCGACCAAAGGGGTTTGGAGGGGAGACAAACTTTTCTTCCCAATTTTGAGCTGGCGGAAGCAGTTGAGAAATATGATGTCTGAAGAACTGCCGTTGTCGATGAGAACCCGTCTAACCTTATAATTAGAGAGGAGGGTAGAGATGACGAGAGGGTCATCATGAGGATAACGGATGCCTGTACAGTCAGCGTCCGTGAAGGTGATGGGCTCTGTCCACTGTTTGGGCTGTTTAGAGGGTCTGTCTATAGTGGCAATAACTTTGCAGAAGAGGGATTACCTGCCGGCCGAGGCTGTTGTGGAGGGTGATCACGGCCTTGGTTAGGTTGTGCTGGCTACCGGGGTGGGATGCGCCGGCGGTTGTTTCTGAGGGGCTCGGTTCTTTGCCTCTACTGTAGGCGGGTGTCTGTGAGCCGGCTGAGACGCCCTTGACGTATCAGGGTCTCGACCTGATCGTTGAGGTTGATGCAGTCATCAGTGTTATGGCCATAGTCCTGGTGGAAACGACAATATTTGGACTGGTCTTTCCGATTTGAAGGGCTCCGTGAAGGTAGGGGTCATTTGAGGGGGTAGTCCCGTTGGATCTGGTTGAGAACTTGTTCCATGGAAGAATTAAGGAGGGTGTACCACTCGAACCGACCGGGTGGTTGGGCTGGTGCCGACCGGTCAACGCGGGGGGGTCGGTCTGTATAGTGGGGTGTTTGGCTATTATACTGGGTGTTTTTGGGTTCTGAGTCTTTTCTCTTTTCTCTGGGGGTTGGGTTTTTAGCTATTGAATCCTGCCGAGCGGCTAGTGAATCTTCAGTATTCATGTATTTCTAGGCTTTGGAGAGTAGGGTTGCCATAAAGGTCGGGTGGTTTTTGGAGAGGGAGAAGAGGAAATCAGACGATCGTAGCCCGGCCATGAAAGCCGTGAGGATGACCTTGTCATCGTTTTCTGCTACTTGTAGGTCTTCAGTGTTAAAGCGGGTAACGAAATTGCGCAGCGACTCCCCCTCGGTCTGACGGATGTTGAGGAGTTGGGTTGCTGGGCGGCGTTGGCGCTGGGCTCCAATGAAATGGCTAAAGAAGGAGTCGCTGAGATGCTGGAAAGTGGAGACAGAGTCTGCTGGTAACTGGTTGAACCACAGTCGAGCTGGCCCCTTCAGTGTCACGGGGAAAGCCCGACACATGATCTCGTCAGGGAAGGCATGGAGGATCATGAGGGTACGGTAGGTCTCCAGATGGTTGACTGGGTCCGTCGTACCGTCAAAAGAGTCAATGGTGGGCATCTTAAACTTGGCGGGCAGAGGTTTGTCCCGAATGGAGGCAACAAATGGTGAATTTGTCGTGGTCGAGGGTTTATGCTGAATGTTCTGCATGACCCCTTGGAGTTGGAGCTTCATTACTCGGAGTTCAGCGTCCCAGAGGGGAACGTGGTCACCATGGTCAGTCAATGGGGGCTGGACGCTGCTGGCTTCCCCTTCAGGGGCTGGTGCCACGACCAGGGGGTGGAGGTGGTAGATTTATATGTAAGGGAGGATGTTGCAAACCTTCCAAGTTAGATGGATGGGGTTGAGGAATAGTATGGCTCGGGGCTCTTTCTTGGTTGGGTGGAATATCTGGAGGTGGTGGATGAGGTATCGGAAGGTTTCTTTGGAGTAAAGCATTTATCAAGGCCTGGTTTTGCTCAGCCATGCGGTTAATCCTGTTGGTAAGCTCGATAAAATACTGCGATGGGTTTTTTGGATTGAGGGGGACGGCCTGATGGTCGGCATCATTATTGTGAGAAGCCATGGATCGATTCGTGACCATACACTTTGACAGCTAGGAGGAATAGGTTGTTGGAACGGGGTCTTCGGCGACAGTGAACACAATTGGCGCGAGGAGCAAAGCGTTCCCACAGACGGCGCCAACTAATGACACAGTTTGTCCCAGTGAATGGGTCGGACTGGTCCAAGCTCCTCAAGCCCAGGTCCAAATGATCAAGCCCACTAGATAACCTGCAAACAAGTTCAACGGGGAACGGGGTAGTCCCCCAGTAAACCTTCCGACGAGCAAGTTAGGAAGAGAAATAGAGTGTAGCGGGAGAGATTAGAGATAGAAAAACTTAACCTTCTTCTTGTTTTCAACGTTTGCTTATATCATTTGGTAATCATTTCGCTGTCCCTTCCGACCTGACCTCTTCGCCGAAAGTCTATGCTGTAGCTTACCTTGTTCAGGGTAAGGGGGTCCTGTGTGATTCACTTTTTTCAATTCCAATGAACTAAGCATATGATTAGGCATTTTGGCTCAACTCATATTCACTAGCTACATGTAGCTAGCCTTCAATGCTAAGCAAAATGTATTCAGTCATTATGATCATTTCTCTCCATCTATGTTGTTGACGTGACATTCTATAAAATTAATAGTATTTGGATAAATAACTAAAATAAAGAGCATGGTTAGAGTAAAAACATAAAATAGTTAATAGGCAAAATAAAATATATACTTTATAATAATATTTAGATAGATAAAATACCTACTATTGTTAGAGATGCTCTAACCCTATTAATAAAATATATATTTACCTTTTTCAGCAAATCTTTGGTGTCACCCACCTGCATGGCGGTAATGCTTTAGCCTTTTATGTCAAGCTTACACTAAAGATTCCTCTGCTCTCTCTCTCTCTCTCTTACTACCCACAAATCGCACAAGGTTTGTAATTGTAAGGCTTGTTTCTAAATTCTAATGCAGTGGCTGAGTTTTGATTGAAAACCCATCCAAGAGATCAACATTTGGATCAAATTAGGTGAAACCCATATTGGCCGTGTCGTTTCCCCTCTCCGTACCGATTCTTGATTTCTTCACTCTGCTGTTGTTTCTTGAGAATGGTTTTTTTTTTTGGATTCATTCCTGGTTTAGAAATTTGTGATGCATCTGGTGTTCTGGGGGTTATGGTGATCCAAAATTTTCCCAACAGTGTCTTGTTACTTCTGCTGAATCAAATTCTTCAAAATTTCCCCTCATGCAATGTAGTTTTTTGTCATCTGAGAGTTGTCAATTCTGTAAATGGAAGAACAAAGAGAGTCTTTCTGTGTCATCCATTATCTGATATTCTGTTTTTATGTATATACATTTGAGAATGTAATTGTATAATTCATGTCTCTTCTGCTCATCTATTGTTCTGTTTCTTTATCTTGTTTTGTGAAATTCTTGAGGATGCTGGTAATATTCCATATCTGGATGCATAGAATGTGGTCTTTTTTTTATTTATTTTATTTTTTATTCTTCAAAATTGTGGAACTCAAATAACCAGGACTCAATGGTAGATCCCATTCTTTTTTTCTTTTTTCTTTTTTTTTTCCTCCTAAATTCTGTGGATATCCCATTATCTATGTTATCTCTTTCTCTACACCCTTCTGTCCTTCTCTTGTTTTCATGTGTTTTCTGAGGATGATAATGCTTTTTTATTTTAATTTTACAAGAATTATAACACTGCCGTAGAATTGCGTGTTTACTGAGGATGATGATGCCTTTTTATGCTAATTTTAGAAGACTTATTACATTGCTGCAGAATTACGTATTTACTGTCTGCCTGAAACTGTTTTGTTTATTTTTATTTTTATTTTAGCAATAAATAAACCTTGTGGTGGGATTTGTTGTTTGATGACATCTTAATTTGGTTAACCAAAATGTAGGAAACTTGATTATCCTGAGGAGAACTGGAACTCATACTAAAAAAATTGGTGTTAGAGGTTTGGTTGTAGACTGAGCGTATGCCTGTGACCAAGTACAACGGCAATTCAGGCATCCCCACGAGTAGATTAGAAAGGCTCTTGAGAGGAAGAGAGCAAAGAAGGAGCAACAGGGCTTCTCATTCAAATGAGGCTACTGACACTAACAATGGAAAAGAGCTCTCTGACCATGAATTGCGCTTAAGAGAAGGCAATAACTTGGGGGTTAACCATGTGGAACAATATTTGGAAGGGGCCTTGGCTGCACATGCACATGGTGAGGGATGGGAGACACCAGATGGGAAACCCTTCAGGCAAAGACTGTTAGTGGTGGCCAACAGGCTGCCGGTCTCTGCAGTTAGGAGAGGTAAGGAGTCCTGGTCATTGGAGATAAGCGCTGGGGGTCTAGTCAGTGCTCTTCTGGGTAAGTCCTATGTAGAATTCTTAACTTATTTTTTCTGTTCATCTTAATATCTTTGTGCATTATTGGGTTACATTTGGTTTGTTAGATGAGCATCTCCAATCCTTCACCAATTCTTTCATCAAATTCAAAGTTGATGAATTAAGAGCTAAATGTGAGCTCCAATCATTTCACCAAACTTGTGTCAAACCAAGGGAGTGGTTTGGTTTGGTTTGGTTTGATTTATTTGATAAAAAAAAAGAGTATGGATTGGAGTGGTCCATAGCAGATCACGCTTTTAACCAAATTTTCACTCAAATTTAATGAATAAAAAAGAGAGTAAGGATTGGATTTCTACCCACATAGAGAAACCTAATCATGCGTGTTAATTATTTTTGAAGGTGTGAAGGAGTTTGAGGCAAGATGGATAGGGTGGGCTGGTGTTAATGTGCCAGATGAGGCCGGACAGAGGGCACTTACTAAAGCTTTGGCTGAAAAGGTTCAGAGTTTCAGCTACAATCTCTTCACCCTTGTTTAGTCTTGGGACATTGATAGTTGATATTTTATTTTGAACCATGAAGAATTCTTGTGAGCATCATTAAATTCCTGTTTTTATTTATTTATTCACCGCAGAGATGTATTCCTGTATTCCTTGATGAAGAAATTGTTCACCAATATTATAATGGCTATTGCAACAACATATTATGGCCTCTTTTTCATTATCTTGGACTTCCGCAAGAGGATCGTCTCGCCACTACCAGAAGTTTTCAGTCTCAGTTCGCTGCATATGTGAAAGCAAATGAAATGTTTGCTGCAGTGGTAAACCAGCATTACCAAGAGGGTGATGTTGTTTGGTGCCATGATTACCACCTCATGTTCCTTCCAAAATGCCTGAAGGAGCACAACAGTGATATGAAAGTTGGTTGGTTTCTCCACACACCCTTTCCTTCTTCAGAAATCCACAGGACGCTGCCATCCCGATCAAAGCTGCTGCATGCTGTTCTTGCTGCTGACTTGGTTGGGTAAGTTGTAATATTTAATCCTGTGCCATGCCATTTTTGCCTCACTTAACAGGTCAATTCCTTTGTACTTGCAATATTGATACTGATCAATTGGCATGTCTTGCAAACTTTTAAACTTGAAACCCATGTACTACTCAATCATATGATTACATTTCTTGTTTAAACTGTCAATCATATGGCATGTCTTGGCAGAATTTGCATGAATTAACCTTTATCTGGATCAACAGCTATTCTTCTTCCTTGTTCAGATACATGGCTCTGTTTTCCTAAATTTACCTACTTAGTGGATGGCTGCTGATTACTCTCTGTCTCTCTCTACGCCTCTACACCATTGTTTTGTTGCTTATTTTGGTTGCAGCAATCAATTTTTCCCCCAGAGTAATCATATGTTAAACTAACATGTTGATTTTTGTATTTCAGTTTCCACACCTATGACTATGCAAGGCATTTTGTTAGTGCTTGCACTCGTATACTTGGCCTTGAAGGTACACCTGAGGGGGTGGAGGACCAAGGAAGGCTGACTCGTGTGGCTGCTGTACGTTTTCGGTTAACTTGTTCATTTCTCTTGTTCTTACCTTGTTATTGGATTTGATTCTTTGAATCACTTCTTATATATTGGTTTGCTAGCATATTTAAGTGTTTAAATTATTTCATTTTGAAACTACTTTGATGTCAATTTTGTTAATCTTGTTCTGTTTCCCATGTTTGTGGAACTCCAGTTTCCTATTGGAATAGATTCAGATCGATTTATCCGTGCACTTGAGTTTCCTCTAGTCCGGGAACACATCAGAGAACTAAAAGAAACATTTGCTGACAGAAAGGTTGGTGCTCTGTACCTTTGGTGATGTTTCATTCTTGTAAACTTTTAGTTGATTTTAGGTAAAAATTTGAGAGTTAATCATTACATTAAGTTGTAAAAAACTCAGTTTTAAGTTTTAATTGTAAAACTTATGATTAGTTTTCGTCATCAAAAATTCAAAAATCTGAATGTTACTGACTGGTCCTTGTTAGTTTTAATTAAAGGATTTGACTTATTATTTGTTGGTGTCTACTTATAAGAGCAAATTACTGGATTGGGTGGGATTGAGTTTTTGTGCTATGCTTTTGTAGTTGAGAGAAATGTCTCCCTGCATTCTGTCTACACAGGCATGCTAAAAGAATTATTAACTGTTGTTGCTAGTTACAACATTTGACAATATCTCTAGGTACAAGCAACACCTCATATTTTGACTCTTAGAGCATAATTTTATCTCTTGGGCAAACATGTATCTTATGTATTTTAAGGCTAGTTTACTAGTGTTTATTTTACACTTTTTTTTTTGCAACTTTCTTCGTCAAACCAAATTAAATTAAATTTAATTGCAGTAGTTGTTTGACACCTATGTTTGAGTTGGAAATGAGCCTCCCTTGCAACCAAATTTTGAAGCAAGAGCCACCCTTGGGAACTCTTGATGAAATATTGCAAAATGTCTATGAAATCATTGGGAAATTTCTCTCTCTCTCTCTCTCTCTCTCTCTCTCTCTCTCTCCACTCATACAATTTATATATACATGTATGTTTGTGCGTGTGTATGTGAATATGTTGCCACAACATTCAGTTCTGTTTGAGTTTCGTATTCTTTAATTTTCTCATTGGGTGGAATATATAGTTATGTAGTCCAGTTTTGCTCAGTACTTGGCTATTTCCTACTCGGTGACTTAAGATTCAACAATCTTCAACAAATATATGCAGTCCTTGGCATAAAAAAAATTGCAAAATAAAATAATAATTAAAAAAAAAAGAAAAGAGGAAAGGAGATAATTCTATTGATTTTTTGTAATTTGATTATTTCCCCTTAATCTTTTACTAATTTAAATGTGTTTTTTTTTTTTTCCATTGACGGGGGGACTTGTATGCGTAACATGTTTTTTTGCAAAACAATTTTGAATCTATTTTTACCTTTGTTTAAAAATTCTCAGCCTCAAGCAGTTTTATATTGTGGTGGTAAATATTTTGTGGTTAAACTTCGACTTTGTTGACTCTTTTTCTTATTGTCATACAGGTAATGTTAGGTGTCGACCGCCTTGATATGATTAAAGGAATTCCCCAAAAGATACTGGCATTTGAAAAGTTTCTAGAGGAAAACCCAACTTGGCACGATAAAGTGGTTTTATTGCAAATTGCAGTGCCAACAAGAACAGATGTTCCTGAATGTACACTATTTACGTAACCAGCTCAATCTTATCTTTCTATTGACGTGATTTGCTTGTATCATTGGAATTATTATTTGTCAAATGGGTTATTCTTTGCAGCTACTCTTTTTTCAGTTTTAAAGATCTGATGTGTGTAAGCTGTTATTTGTTTTGTAATAAAAAGAAGATTCTTATAACTAAACCAAACTAAAAGTCCTGTGTCCCAATCAGGTGGGTTGAATCATTTTTCTTCATTCCAATAAAATTCTTATGACTGAGCCAAAAAAAAAAGAAAAAGAAGAAGAAGATTCTTATAAGAAGTTGGGAATTTATTCATGAAAGTTGGGAGTTCTATTAGCATTCACGCCATGTTGACAAGAATACATTTAGACAAGAACAATCAAGTATTATCTATCGTTTACAGATACTATCAACCGTTGATCTTCGTAGCATATAGCTCTTATCTCTTTCATATCCCCTGGGCTGCCTTTGGGTACATTCACCCGATGCCCTAAATGCTTGCATTGGTTGAAAGTAGGGCTCATGGAGGTTCTTTGACTCAGTGACTGTTTTAGGCGTGATTTTATTTGCATTGTGTCAGTGATCTATAGCCTTGTCAAAGTCTTATCTAGTGTCCTTGGTGTTGGTGGTTTTGAGAGTAGACGGCTAGTTGAGCACTAGCTAATGTGTGGTAGCGAAGAACAAATATCTTTTTATGCTGGTGATTTGAACTCTTGGAGACCTTTGTTCCAATGCCATTATCCATTGTTCCTCAATCTCTAGTATTCTAATGATCTTCCGATGACATTATGCATTGTTCCTTGTTGCATGTGAATCTCATTGTTCCTTAATGCATATCTCTAGTAGTCTAGAGATCTTCCGATGCCATTATGCATTGTTCCTTATTGCATGTGAATCTCTTGAACTTTGTTGTAAAAATGGGCATTTCACTTTGTTTTTTATATGTACTATCACAGATCAGAAACTTACAAGCCAGGTTCATGAAATTGTTGGGCGCATTAATGGCAGATTTGGGACCTTGACTGCTGTTCCTATACATCATTTGGTGAATCTTTTACTTTATCACTCATTGCTTAATTCGCAAGATGCCTAATATATGTTTGATACAGTATTTCTCTGCTCAATTGACAATTTTTATGAAGTCTCAAGGCTGTTGTACTTTCTTTTTTTTTTTGGTGTTGTCCTCAACGTGCATTACCCTTCTCAAAAGCATATATACTTACCAAAAATCTTTTTGGAACTACAGATTTGCAGTTGTGAGTGGTGCCTGCCTGAAACTATTTCTTATGCTTATGTTTAAGTTGGTAAAGAGGAGAATTTTATCTTAATAAAAAACATTTTATGCTGTGATAAATAGATTAATCAAATTGATGTCTTTCTTAGTTTGTACACGAATTCTCCACGTAGGCACTGTTTCCAAAGAAGTTATAAATGTTGGAAACATGTTTGGCTACTATTCTATCAAAAAGTTCTAAATCTCTGATGTTTTGAAGAAATGCTATGTAGTTTTACTGATTCTCTAATTTGTTACACTATGGAGTATTCATTCCCAGTTCATAAGCTCCAACTGTCAAGGTTGAAACATTATTCTGGATGTACTTTGAAAGTGGCATGCAAATTAGATTGAGTTGATTAAATGCTTTATATTTGGATTATTAAGTTCTTTTCAGTTTCATGCACAACAAAATTTATCATAGAACAAAATACACGATGCAAAATTGTTGAATCTTATGCCTCTTTTTTTTGTGTGTTGTGTGTGTGTGTTGTGCGCACGCGTGCTGAATGTGCTCTGATGCAAGCCCTTTTTTTTTATATATTTTATTTGAAATAACATACCTTTGGCTGTCATTTACATCATGCAAAATGTCCTGTTATATATAGAGTTGCTGCTTTGTCATTCATGTATGCTGGTGTTCAGATCAATATTAGATATCTTGAGATGTTCTGATTCTTTGCTTGAATTGCTTCTATCCCAAAACCAAGGATAAACCATCAGGTTAATTATGAACTGTGATGACATTTACAGCTTTACCTCTTATGTTTGTGGCATGTGATCACCTATTTCATATTCTCTCTCTCTTCAATTATTCTCAAATTCTCTATTGTATAGTACATTGGGACTCTTTTCTGACGCAATTTTTTTTAATGTCTACAGGATCGTTCTCTTGACTTTCCTGCATTATGTGCACTCTATGCTGTTACTGGTACTAGTTCTTTTCTTAAACTTTTTAATTTTACTTGACCAAACATCTCGGGAATTATGAGTTTGAAATGAGTCCCACGTGGCCTTTAGTTACGCAAGATGAAGTAGCCCATGCATTACAATTGAGAAAAGATAATTGAATTGGGAGAGATTTCTTAACTGCATGCTATATATATGACTTGTACTTGAATATGTGAATTACTTCTTGATTTACAAGGTGGCCTTAACTTTCTGATTTCTGTTTCATAATTTTCATATACATTGTCCAAAATTATAAAACTTTCATTATTAAGTTCCTGGCATTGTTGTACTTATATAAGAAAAAAAGTTACTGGCATGATTGTAATTAAGTGGTAATGCGGTGCTTCATGTTTCTCCAACTCATAGAGTAAGGAAAATCCACACAAGCTCAATCTCACATTCACATAACTCAAATAGATACCTTTAGTATTGCTTAACTACTCTTGATTCTACAACTAATGTAGATAAGTGAGAGTAAAAGGATTTTTGAGGGAAAGAAAAGTCTATTTTGAAAATCAAGAGTAAAATTTTGTCTGTTGTACAATTGGTTTTCTGGGATGTTTAACCTGTCCTACCACCAATTTTTGGGTTTGTAGAGAATTTTGAATAGATTTGAATGTATAGTTGATTTCGTATGCAGGTTGCACTCCCTTGGTGGCTCATTTTGATAATACTTTGTTATACTCGTCAAATAAAATATGGCTCAAAGTTAGGAAATTAAAAAACTTTGACTAATTAGAATAATTGAGACATAATAGCCTTGTTTGGTTTGTTTTTCAGAAAAATTTTTGGGAAAAATTCTCTACAAAATTTTTTTCAAGAGTAATCAAACCAAACAAATTTTTTCAAAAAATTTTTTAAAATTTTGTTTGGTTACCTATTTTCCAAAATTACTCTCTCTCATACACATCAAATCAATCACTTTTTTTAAAACTCTCTTCCCAAAACAATTTTTCAAAACCATTTCTGAAAAAAGACAAACCAAACTAATTTTTATACTTTTTATCTCAAAAACTACTTTACAAACACAAACCAAACACAAACCACATATAAGACCCAAAAAATAATTTGATCCATATTACCAACAAAACAAAATGTCTATAACACCTTGACTACCAAAACCTAACAAGTTGAAAAATAAATAATTTTGTAGCATATTGCATTTAAATTAACATTTTTAAGACTCCAACTACCACAGATACTTTATTTGGATAAAAAAGGATTCACTATTGTGGGACTCATAGCCATCATTTCGTGCTTCCAAAGCCTATTATATTTGTTTAGTCGTTTAATGGAAGTGGCTTCCCACTGTGGTTCAGTCACACTGAAAGTGGAATAAAATTACCAAAATTCGTGAATATGTTTACAATATAAACTAGTTGTGTAAAGTTCGCTTTAATATTAGAGGCTCATAAATGGAGATGATTCTTCAAATATTATTTGATGATTTTGGGACCTCAAAATGCAAAATCTTCCTAATTATAGCTGTATTGATGTTTTTCAGGTCGTTGAAATTTTATTATACTTGAGTTGCATTCTCTAATTGCCAATTTTACGAAATATCAAGGATTTGTGTAGGACATTTTAGACTGATAATTTTGTATCCTCTTTTCCTGCTTAGATGTAGCACTTGTCACATCTTTGCGGGATGGAATGAATCTCGTCAGCTATGAGTTTGTGGCCTGCCAAGATGCAAAGAAAGGGGTTCTCATTCTTAGTGAAGTAATTACCAAAACCTTGTAATTGTTTCCTATTTCTGTTCCTTTTGTGGTGCACATTTTTCTTTTCTAAAATGGCAGCAATCTTTTGGCTGATTCCATATTTGCACCAATCTTGAAGGGCTTGTGGTTGGTGTTATTTTAGACAGTACACGGCAAAATTAAATGGAAATCTATGGTTCCATTGGAGTTTTAGAATTTTTTATGCATATAATCTTTGACTGAATTCTTCCATTCTGTATTCCACTAGCAAGTAATGCAATAACAAGTTTACTCGTATTTCTCATTTTGTACTTTTTTAAAAAATCAATTTGTCTCAAATGGTGTACTGTCTTTTTCCCTTAATTAAGGTTCCTATTCTCGCATATTATCATTCTTTTCGCATACTTGTAGTTTGCAGGTGCCGCACAGTCTTTGGGTGCTGGAGCAATTCTTGTCAACCCCTGGAACATAACTGAAGTTGCCACTTCAATTGGCACTGCTTTGAATATGTCAGCTGAAGAAAGAGAGAAGCGACATCGACTTAACTTTGCACATGTGACAACTCATACTGCTCAAGAATGGGCTGAAACTTTCGTGAGGTAATAGTGTCGTGATATGAAGTTGAGATATATCTTTTCCGTACAGCTTGAACTAATGTTGTCTTTTATGTACAAGCTTCTTCTTACCTCAGTGTTACCTAAATTTTGGGCTACATTTTGTTGCTGTTTGCAGTGAATTGAATGATACCGTTGTTGAAGCTCAGCAAAGGACAAAACAAGCTCCACCTCCACTTCCAGTCAATGATACAATCGAACATTACTTGCAATCTAACAATAGATTGCTTATACTGGTACGTATTACTTCATATTTAGACTAAATGATTTTCAGAAATTTTATGTGGCCAAGAAATGATGTTTGATGTTTCTGCAGTAACTACTTGATTAAGATTTAATATGCAAATAATAACATCTGCTAGTTACTTGCATGGCATTTAGGAGTATCACATTGATCATGGCTACTTTCTGGAACAATTAAATTAAACCGTCAATGGCTAGTAACTTGCTCTAGTAATTGTAATTCAAAAAATTTTTTGGTAGGTCAGTAAGTTGTTAACCCTGAAATTTTTAATTGTGTTCTTTTATTACTTGATATCAACTATTCTCCAGTATTCAGAAAATATGCCTACAAGTATGTTACGAACCTTCTTGTAGAACAAAATAAAAATGGAAGAGAGGGGAGAAAAGTCCCACTTCAATGATCTCTTTTTAGTTTTGTGAATGCTAGTTGTCAGGCATTGCCACATGTGCTATTTGAGATTTCCAAGCTCTTATTTATTGAGTGGCTGTAGAATGTTGCTTGCTCAACTTCATGATTTTGTGTCTTGAAGTTTGAAAACAAGGCGCTTACACTCTTTCAATCATCTGGCTTAACATGGGCTTTTAATTATTTTGTTTTTTGTTATCTGGTCTGCCTTCAGGGATTCAATGCAACTTTAACTGAAGCCGTGGATACTCCAGGAAGAAGACGAGGAGATCAAATTAAAGAAATGGAACCTAAATTGCGTCCAGAGCTAAAAGCACCTCTAATGGCACTGTGCAATGATCCAAACACAACTATTGTTGTCCTCAGTGGAAGTGCCAGAAGTGTCTTAGATGAAGTAATTCATCTAGTTCCATTTTTGTCTTCTTTTCTATCCCTACCCTACTATTTCCAATTCTGAAGTGAGTGCTTTCACAGAACTTTGGTGAGTACAACATGTGGCTGGCAGCAGAAAATGGGATGTTTCTTCGCTTTACTAAGGGAGAATGGATGACAACAATGCCGGAGCATTTAAATATGGAATGGGTTGATAGTGTTAAGGTACGCGTTTCTCTTTCCATTTCTATTCCCGCTTCCACAATTCTGATGCTTTCCACACGTTTTCAGCATGTTTTTGAGTACTTTACGGATAGAACACCTCGATCTCATTTCGACCCCCGTGAAACATCACTTATATGGAACTATAAATATGCAGGTACTTCTTTTTATTTTTTATTTTTTTTAATAAAGTTTCTTCTTTCAATAATGTTTTTAGGCTTTACTTTTTCTGATTCTCTATCATTGTTTATTGCACTTCTAGATGTTGAATTTGGAAAACTGCAAGCCAGGGATATGCTGCAACATCTCTGGACAGGCCCAATTTCTAGTGCATCTGTTGATGTTGTCCAAGGTAGCCGTTCTGTTGAGGTGCGAGCAGTTGGTGTTACGAAGGTGATTCGATTTTCAGTTTATATCAGAAATTATTAAATTATCTGAATTCATGAACTGTATAGGCAGCTGATGTATATATGTCGCCTATTTTATGGTTTCTGCTTCATGTAGGGAGCTGCAATTGATCGTATATTGGGAGAGATAGTTCACAATAAATCCATTTCAACACCAATTGACTACGTCCTGTGCAGTGGACATTTTCTAGGGAAGGTATACTTTTTTCTTCCCTTTAAATCTCTAGCTTTTTTAAATAAGTCAGATGGCATCCTAGAGCATTGTAACAATACAAGGAGTGTCTTATAATTAACACGACACAAATTTTAGTACTTAAAATTGCCACAAAAAAAAAAAGTGTTACATTAAATGCTGTAATAAATTTCTAGAGAGGAAAGTTTTTTTTTTTAAACACACTACAGACCCATACTGCTTAGAAGATGAGGCATACAGGATGCGACTTATAAGTATTTATAATTTTTTTTTTCTCTTTCCTCGTATGACTGAATGGATGGACTTCGTAAAAGATAATGCAGATCTTTAAGCTATGTTACCTAAAATGTGGATCGTTCTGGTACATAGAACAAAAATTGTTTGGAACGTAGTATGTGACATACTCTAAAATGTCGTAGACTTATGTAAATTACACTATTAGAATTTAAAGTACTTTTACAACACATTTTGATGAGTACTATAACCCATCTTTTACCTTTTGTCTAGTCAAAACTCCACTCTCCATTATACTTGAATTTTTCCTCGCTTAAAAAAATTAGGATCACTTTGAATTGCTAAATTAACCGTTATAGAAGGAAAGTATACCATGTTCTCAAATGTACATTCCAAAGCGTAAATTGTTAGGGTATTATTATTGTTTTTTGGTAACCCTGATCCTAAGTTTGTGTTCTGGCTGGTTCTAGGTGTGATCAAGAGCAATATAAAGTAGCTCCTACTCTGATGATTTGTTATATGTTGCTTCAGGATGAGGATGTGTATAAAGTAGCTCCTAAGTTTGTCTTACTCTGATGATTTGTTATATGTTGCTTCAGGATGAGGATGTGTACACATTTTTTGAGCCAGAGCTCCCGTCCGACACAATAGGTATTCCAAGAACCAAGGTACCTGATGCATTAAAGCTACCGGGGGAGAGAAAGCCGCCTTTGAAGCTTCCAGCAAGCAAAAGTGGCTCTAAATCATCTCACAGCAAAACTCAACGACCCCTGCCAAACGTGGACAAGAAAACCAACAACCACAACTGTGGGAGCGGGAGGCGGTCATCGGCAGAAAAGATTTCGTGGAATGTGCTCGATCTCAAGGGGGAGAATTACTTCTCTTGTGCTGTTGGGCGCAAACGTACCAATGCTCGGTATGTCCTTGGATCATCAGATGATGTTGTCTCGTTTCTGGAGTTACTGGCTGGGGCATCTGTCTCAAGCTCGGTATCATCAGGTTGACATATATCATCATGCTCTTGTATATTGTGATGCATCTGATTTTGGATTATAGGGATGGTGGTCTATGGGAATCTTTGTAGCAAAGCTTTAATGGGGGTAAATTTGATGTAGCAAACTGAAAGCATCCAAACAGTCACTTTTTTTTTTCTTTTTTCTTTTTCTTAGGAACCAAACAGTAATGTTAAAAAGATAGGATATGCATATAGGATCACAGTGTTTTTTAAGTGTCAATGCTCTCTCTGCCTTTTTCCTTTGGATGGAGGTGTGTATTTCTTTTGAAATGATGACTGTGTGTAAATAAATGTATAAATAAAATAAATAGAGGAAATTAAATAATTTAGAAATTAATTTAACAAATTAAATTCTGAATTAAATGCTTACAGAAACTTTAAATGTCGAGCCTTGTGTTTGACACAATCTCCTTAAAGTATATTTCGCCCTCGCTCCGGTGTTTCAAGATTTACCGGCGTTTACTTTCTAGGATGCAACGACTACTACTATTTGGTTTGCAGCACTACAAACTCAAGTCTAGCGAACCAAAACTCCTCTATGACTATCTCTTTTTCTTCCTAAAATTAAATGATAGACAGATGCAGAAAATAGGAAGATGGAAAAGAAAGAAGGAAGACGAAATGTTTAGGAAAAATTGGATGGATTGAATTGTTAGAATGGCAGGTTATATATAGGAGAACTGGTGGTTTTTCAGAACAGGTGTCAACAGATAGAAAACCTGTTCGGACAGATTCAACAGGTAGAAAACCTGTTTGGACAGATTTGAATAGAAACAGATCTGTTCGGGTGGAATTTCAACAGGTATGAACCTGCTCGGGTGGATTCTAACAGGCACGAACTTGTTAAGGTGGAGAAAAAATTTGGACAGATTCATTTTGAATTTTGAAACCGAAATTCAAAATTAAATAAGTAAAATACAAATATTTTTTTGCTCAAAAAGATAAGTATTGGGTCGGGCAAGATCAACCCAACCTCACATCCACGCCCAAGCCCAACCCGGACGGACGGGTATGTTTTTGTTTTGGGTCTAATAGATCTAACATACTTTACCCATAACCCCACATTTCCGCAAAATTTGGGTACCCTTGAGGCCCATGTCAAGTATGGCAAGTTAGAGTTTATATACTCATATAAATCCTTAAGCATTTCTAATATGGAACAAACACATTTCACAAATAGGGAGGAAATCCACCTAGAGCCATATCCACAAATCCAAAAATGTGAGTTGAATTCTCATTCATCTAAAAATAGTTTTGAGCAACTAAATATACGATGTTATTTACTATGCGGCATTAAATACGAACCCAATTAAACACGTAAAAAATAATGCTTAAGTACTACCTTAATTAATACTTAAAATTAGCAAAAAATAAAATTTTATAAAGCCATTTTTCAACACGTAATTCAACTAGTGTTAATGGTCACTAGGGCAAAAATTTTGGTAATGTTCTTGAATGGTGATTTCTTAACTGTCAACTAATTTTCTTCCATGCCTCTCCCACTTGCACCAATCTCTTTTTCTTTTATCTTTTTTATCCTTTTTTGTTTTTTTGGTTTAAAAAAATAATAAATTAGAGAAATATAGTCACGAAAATAAGGAGATTACTGAACAAAATACAGAGAAATTAGTTCTTCAAAAGCTTCTCAATGATTGATCTTGATGTCAAACTGAGAAATAGTAGGGTCTATTATTATTTTATAGTTTATAACATCGTCTAATTTTGGTTTGGCCTGGCCTATGTCAGGCCTTGCGGGCTCTCGCTAAAAATCAGACCGGGTCACGGGCCAGAAAATTAGGCTTAGGCCCAAGCCTAGGCCCCAGAGTATTCGGACTTTGGACCGCACAATGGGCCAGACCGCTGGGCTCGGGCTTTGGGATGGGCTTGGGCGGCCTAAACAAATTTTTTTTTTTTTTTTTCTACCAAAATTTTATTATTTTTCATTAAAAATGACACTGGGTCTCGAGCGAGCCAGGCTTTTAAGCGGGCCCACGAGCTGGGCCAGGCTTCGAAGCGATGGCCCAGGTCCAAGACCTCGGGCTGGGCTTGGACCTAGACCTAAACGGACCGAACCCATCTCAAGTCGCTGGCGGGATTCGGAACGCCCACAGACCACGCGTCATTTTTACGCTCTTAAACATCAGGGACTAAACTGAAAACAATAAAAAATTAGAGAGTTAAGTTACCGATATATAATTTTCTTTACTCACAGGTGCTCGGTACCACCCGTGGCCCTTTGTGGCAGCCACGTTATTCAGAACATTTTTCAAGTTTTTGTTATGAGTATTTTATTTCAAAAAGTGTTAAAACAAATAAAAAAGCACACAAAATTCCATTTTTGGAACAGATCATACGAAAGCTTATGGCAGCGTTTAATAGAGTATTTTAAATATGATTTGAGAATAAAGTTATATTTTGAGTTTGTAAATTTTGAAATTATGATTTGAATTGAGTTTATTTAGTTATGAGTTTTAAAAAGAGTTTTAAATTGAGTTTGGAACAAATGATGTGACATGAGAGGGAGATTTATAATCTGGATTGGGCCGTGGTAATGGCTGGGCAGATTTGGGCCGAACACAGTTGGACCGTGGTAGCATGGGCCTGCCAGAAAGGTTTTGCTCGGTTAAGGCAAGGCATGGTTGAACCGAGCTACTTGGCTTCAGGGTGCAGAGGCCGGTCGAGTGATGGTTCGGCCGAGATGTCCGCTGTCTCACTAGGTTCCACGGTTCGTGGGTTAGCTCGGCAGGAAGGCCGACGGCTGACCAGCATGAGCTGTCCCGAGCTCGGCTATGTCGGAATGCAGTCGAGCTCGGTCGTCATTGAGCTTGGCGAGCGGAGCGCTCTGGCTAGCAACACAGCACGGCCTTTGGCAGCTGAGATGCTGCAGCCTGGCTGCCGAGCTCCCAGTAGTGTGGGCTGGCAGCTTGGTTAGGTGATGTTCAACTAGATTTGTGCTGACAGATGGGATAACAGCACCACGTGTCAAGAGACTAATGGGAGTAGATTTGGAGCGCAGAAGGTATATAAGCGAGTCTGCATCCCTCATACTAAGGTAGATAAACATTTGGTGAGATTTACACAAAACACTTTCCTCTCTCTCTCTCTCTATCCCTGTGTGTGTCTAACTTGATCGTCGGAGGAGTATTCTGGCCACACACCGCCGGGTAGCTCACCGCCGTTGTGCTCGTAGGTCGATCGGACAGGCAGGAGCTTGGAAGAAAGGAGTACGGGCTTGCCGGAATATTTACTCCCTGTACAATTGGTGCCGTCTGTGGGAACTTGACAGACAAAACCTTGTCTTCTAGGCTCATCTAATCGCCGTCCATGGCGAACAACGATGAAATTCCGTTGTCTGTCATCGACGGAGTTACCCCGGAGTCAGGCAGACAGAGAGAAGGACATCTCGCCATCATTCCTCCGATGGCGGACCTGGAGACTTCTCCAGGAGGACATTCAAGAGACGCGCGGGATAAGCGCGGAAGAAGCTTTGGTCATTCACGGAGTCTAGACGGTCACCGGCGGCAGAGAGAATCGTATGCCAAACGACTGGAAATCAAGCTAAAGGACCAAGACACCGTCATTCGGCGAATGGCGGCGGAGATGGAGGATCTTAAGTGGCATGTCAAAGGGAAGGGTGTAGCGGGAGTGGGAGACCACAGTGAGCACACCCAACCCCGCCGTTCAGGCAGTCAGAGCCAGCAGCGTACTCTGTTCATCTCAATCACCAGAAGTTACAAGGTTGGAGATTCTGACGCGCACGTAGAGTAGGGATGGCAATTTAAACCCGGCCCGACGGGGACCCGATCCCCCGACCCCGATTAGAACGGGTTTTTCTCGAAAATTATCCCCATAGGGTCGGGGATGGTATTAAAAATTTAATCCCCGGTAATTTTCGGGCCGGGGACGGTGATAGCCTCCCAGATCTCGTTTATCTTAGCCGTCCATTGAGAAGATGAATGGGTCTATAAAAGAGAGATAGCCCATTTCGGTAATTATATAATATAATGTCCAAGTTATATTTGATTTGAAGAACCTTACATTAAGTTATTTTATTGTAGTGAATATTTTCAAGACTTGGTCAAAAAACATTTTGAATTCATTTCTCAACTCTCTCTCTCTCTCTCTCTCGTTTCTCCTTTTACTCTCTGTGACTCTGTGAGAGAGATGAACGAACTGCTTCCAGATTCAAGCCACGGAGAAGTCTAGAGATAGATCGGCGACGGAGATAACGGCCTACTCGCCGTCGCGGACAACACAGAACGATAAGAGACCTCTCTCTTTCTTTCTCTTTCTCTCTCTCTCTCTCTCTCTCTCTCTCTCTCTTTGGTTTTCGATTTTGTTCTTCAAATTTGGATGTTTTGGTCACCACCGATGCCAAGATCCTAGTTGAGCTCAGATCTATTATGGATGAAGATAAAGAAAATGATGATTTGTTGAGCTCAGATCTGTTTTTGATTTTTGATTTTTTATGTTTTACATTTGAGCTCAGATCTATTATTGAATGTATATGTTAAATCTGGTGTATGGTTGTGCTATTGATGATGATGATGTTGAATCTGATTGTTGATGAATTCTTGTAGATCTGGAGCTCATATTTGAATTTTTTTTTTTTTTTTTGGGGGGGGGTTTGGGGGGGGGGGGAACCCCCCCCCCGGGGCGGGGGCGGCGGCGGGGGCGGCTATAGGTTCCCCGTCGGGGATCGAGGCCGGGGACGGGGAAATTTCCACCATCGGGGATCGGGGACGGGGAGTGTAATCCCCGGCCCAGCCCGGCCCTGCCCCGTTGCCATTCCTAACGTAGAGAAGTCCAGCGTGCAAGATAGCACCTATCAACCCTCACGTCCGGCGACGACGTCGAGGTATTCTTATTCCGCTCGTTCAGAGGATTTGCGGGCAGTCTTGAAGGAACGGGCTCGCCTGCGGGAGGCTCAGAGGGTGCCAGCGTTCCAACGGCTATCCTATGGGATTCACGCCAGTGAAGAGGTTGAAATGCCTCCACCCTGCCTCGCCGCGCCTCTCCTTTTAGACACAGACTTGGCGAGGCTGAGTGCCACTCCTTTCTCCCTGGAGATAGAAACAACACCGCTTCCGACGGGCTTTCACCAGCCAAAGTTCACGCCATACGACGGAAAAACTGATCCATCTATGCATGTAAGCCACTTCCGACAGGTCATGGCCGGACATAAGCGAAATGACGCTCTTATGTGCCTTATCTTCCCGTCAAGTTTGGGCGAGCTAGGCTTGAAATGGTTCGAGAGGTTGCCGGAGGGAAACATCGAAGGGTGGCAGCAGTTGGCGGAAGCCTTTGTGATGCGCTTCAAAACCAACAC